CATCACCATAATCACTATCATCATTATCATCACCATCATCATTACCATCACCATCACCGTCATCATCATCAACATCACCATCATCATTACCATCACCATCACCATCATCGTCATCATCATGACCATCATCATGATCATCATCATGACCATCATTACCATCACCATCACCATCATCATTATAATCATCATCGTCATCATAAGTAACTGCTATCTTCCTCGTAGTCATTTCACTTACATGTTACTTGTAGCTGTTGGCTTCTTGTTGTAGTCGAGTGTGGCTTCCATGATCTCATTAAAACCACCATTACTGATTGCCTTTGCCAACTGCAACAAAAACAATAATCAGTATATCAGTATGTTTAGGATAACTGTGCCCATAATAGTAACACTGTATCACAAATACGACCAGTCCAAGCAGCCAGAAGAAAAAACAGATTTTACGACCACCACTTCTCGTACGGGGCTCTTCCGTGAGGTTCCCTCCTCACGCACTACCACTACATTCTATATTTACAACATACAAGACTTAACTGGTATGTTGATTTTTACGGAGGGAGGAAACCGGAGATCCCGGAGAAAACCCTCGTGGCAAGGGAGAGAACAACACAACAAACAAACTCAACTCAAATATGATCCAGTCTGAGCCGGGGCTCGAACCCGRACCACAGCGGTGAGAGGCGASCGGTAAAGCACTACACCACCCCAGTTCTCAAAAGCTACGCATCAGTTCTTATAACCTTTTATAACTTGGTCAATCAGTTCTATAGAAATAACGCATTTGACAACTGGCAGGTTTGACTTAATAGAAAGCGCCGTCAGTCTCCTTTGTTTGGTTTGTAATAGGTCTTGCTCTGGACTCTGATTGACTATCATTCGTGTCTTGATCCATGTCTTAATCAGTGTTTGATCAAGTATCAAGACTCATCTACCTGACCAAATACGATGTTCTGGTTCGTTGCTGACCTTATGAATAACTAATGGTTTGTGTTGTTATATTCTCTACTTTCACATCCCCATAAT